GAGACAGAGTACAAGTGGGAGAGGGACAAAAAAGGGAGGGAGACACAGAATGTGAAGCAGGCTCCAGGCTCCAGGTTGTCAACACACAGTGTGATGTGGGGCTTGAATTCATGGACCATGAGATCATGTCCTGAGCTGAAGTTGAATGCTTAACCAAATGAGCCACCCAGGTGTCCCCTAAATTTAACCTTTATAATCAGAGTTATGATGACTGTGGTGCAAATAAAGAGGCTTTGTCATGCACCACATGTACTAATTTTTGGAGAGATTTTTTGAATGATTTCTATCAATTTCCCTAGACTTGTTCTCCAACCTTTCTTACCATGAGGTATACCCCATGAGGCTAATCTCTCTCTCTAGTCCACACTAGCTGGTTTCCCATGCCCTCTAGTTTCCATTTGGTTTGACCAATGGGATGCTTTAGGTAGGAGAAGAGAGAATTCTGGGTACTTGTTCTCTCCCTCCCTCCCTGCCTGGCCACTGTTTGGCAGTAGCTATATCATCTATCTAAAGCCACAGCTTCTGTTGGAGACTTCTGTTCTATGGTATTTTCTAGGTTCTCATACTGCTCCTTCCAACTGCATTCTCAGGACTAGAGTAGTGTGCTGGGCAGAATATAGGTGCCCCCAAAATGTTTATGTTTTAATCCCTGGAATTTGTGAATATGAGGCCTTACTTATTAAAAAGGACTTTGAAGATGTGATTAAGTTTAGAGTGTGGAGATTGTGGATTATCCTGAATTATGTAGGTGCACCCAGTGTAATCACAGTGGCCCTTGTAAGAGGCAGAAGGTTGGAGCTAGAGTTATGATGAAAGAATGAAAAGTTGGACTGATGTAATTGCTGGCATTGAAGATGGAAAAGGGCCACTGGCCAAGGAATGCAGGAAGCTTTTAGAACCTGAAAAAAAGGAAAGAACAAGTTCTCTCTTAGAGATTCCAAAAGAAACTCAACCCAGAGAACACCGTTAGGTTAGTCAGCGAGACTACAAACTTTGAGGCCTAATCATGAATTTGTGCTGTTCTAAATAACTAAGTTTGTGATAATTTGATGTAATGGCAATAGGAAACTAATTCAGATGATTATGGCTTTCCCATGGTACTACATCATCCTTTCACTGGTGGACTTTTGTGAATAATTTCATTAATTCTTCATTTATTCCCTTTGAGTGTGCCATCTGATTTCTGCTAGCACCCTGTTAAATGCTTGTATTTCAGAGCCTGAGATAAATATAGATATTCATTGTATCATTATTTATAATAATAAGAAATAACATAACTTTTCAGAATAGGGACTGGCTAAATAAATTATGGTATTGCAGTATGATATAACAATAGAATGCCAGAAAATATTTGTTACATATGTGCATAAACACATGCAAAATGGTATGAAAAAATCAGGCTACAATACAGACCTATATCTGTACCTATACTTCTATCCATATCCATGTTTATATCTCTAGTATCTAGCTAACTAGCTAGCTAGCAAGCTATCTCACTATATAAAGGAAAAATATACATGATGATTTTAGTGGTTAACTCTTGCCAGTGGGTAACATTTTTTGTAGTTTTTCATATTTTGTCAAAATTTCTACAAGGCTTTCATTAGTGTTCAGAGAGAAAATTTTAAAGCAGTAATGAGTCTTCACATATGGTTGAATGCTTTGTATTAGAGAGAAAATCATGTCTAGTTTTACCCAGTTAAAATAGTAATTTCCTTTACCTCCAACTATTTAGGGCAGCTCAGTTATAGTTACTTGTATTCTTATCTGACTCCTTTATCATTTTAAGGGCATTTTGAAGCAGAGAATGCCTTAAAATTTATTTCTTCCTATACTTGCAGGGCCCTATGTGAGGCTCTTGATATGTGTTTACTGGAAGCTTTATATTAAGGTGATTTTATAGAAGCTTAATCAAAACTTCTTTGATAAGGGACTTATTTTCAGACCCATAAAAATACAAGTAACAGAAAAAAAATTAAAGGCAAACTCATAGAAGGAAGATAGAAGATTAAACAACCTGGTTTAAGATGCAAATGTTGCTGAATTATTGATATCAGATTCTTGTCACAGAATTGTTCACTTAAAATTTGTTTACTAAAAGGATTGAATAAATATAACTACTTAGCTGAGGTAAACCTTAGGATAAGGGTACTCAAAAATCCCATCAAATACTGAAAGATATAAAAGAAAATGGCCTATCATACATCAGTCAGACTGGAAAGTCTTCTGGACTAGGTAGAATCTTTAGTTAGCAATTGTTCAGTAAGTGAACAGAGAAAGGCATTTTAGTAATGCCTTTCTCAAAGAAGGCTCAAAGAAGAAATAGTAGAAATAAGACCACTGTGTGAAGATATGACAGAGTTTAGGAGAGTTTGAATGTTAGATGATATCAATAACATTAGCAGAGGAGTGATAGAATTAACATCAGTCAGAAGGGACCAATTACCCTCATTTACATATGAGACTGAATCTCCCAAGATAGGAATAGTTAGGAAAAGTCCCTGATGTGACTTGAATTCTCTATCCCTGGACCAGTGACATTTTGTTTCTTTTAATGGCAAGAATCCTCAATTATGATTAAGAGTCCTCATATTCATTTCATTAAGGATTTTATAAATTTAGCTACAAAATCATTTACTGACATAAAAATGTACTGTATTAAGCTGGAACTACACATTTATTGATAATGTCATTTATGTTAATTTAGCAATCCCATTACACATTTCCATGTTTTTAAGGGAAATCTTATTTACTTTTTAAAAGATATCTACACTTGTGTCTTTATATCTATATTCTATGGTAATTTAAATGATACATTGTTCCACTTGGGAGTAATTACCAATACTTGGCTCTTGGCTCTATACTTTTCTTTATATACATAAATTTCCCCAGTATTGCATGTCAGCAAAGATATGTATTGTCTATTATCTACGTTTATTATTCACACAAAGTGGGACTCTATAGTAATTAACTTCATAAATGATAATCTGTATTCTTAAGCAAGGTAGCCCATAATCCTGTGCCCTTTCTTTTCTGTGCTGAGGAAAATTTTTAACATCCAGTCCTTCTTTGATTAACTCATTTACTCCTTATAATAAAATTATGAGTTGTAAGCCATTATTATCCCCATATTCAGAAATAATAGGTCTTGAGAGCCTGGATTTGAATTTAGGTAAACCGAAACAAGAGCCTCTGCTTTTCCATTTTGTTCTAAAAATAAAAAAGGAAAAACTTTATGTCCCAAATATGGCAGAAGAAAGTTACAACTGGATTTATAATTGTCCTATGATTTTTACTGTCAGAACAAGTAACAATAAAGCAGTCCTAGCACTTACTTGATATAATAGAAGTAATGAGCCTATAGAGACTAGCCATAGAAAACTTCAGTTGTCTATTGTCTCAAGCCCTGAGGGGCAAGGTCAACTCTGGTCTGGAATATTTTAAATAACTGGAGATCTCTTCTTTCAAACAGCATTCTGAAAGCAGTAGATAACAATGAATTTTGTTTGACCATTACATTAGATAGAGCATAAAAGAAATGCAAAATTTATCACATTATTCTCTTTTACTATGTATTCTAAAATTTTTCTCATTACAATAAAATATTCAAAGCGATGTCAAGATCAAAGAAAGAAATAATCCTCAAGTTTGGCAGATCCTCAACTATTAACAGAAAGATAAAGTATTACAGAATTTTACTTCCAAATCCTGAAACACTATATGACCCAGTAAAAAGAGCAATGGTCAGATGCCTCTCCCAGGTTTGCCATTAACTGGCTGTGTGACCTTTGGCAATTCAACCAGCAATAAAAATTGTAGCAGAGCTTTTGGTCTAGGTCATTCTCCCCTTCTCCTACACATTTGACAAAAATTCATAGTGACAAAGCATACAGATAGCAGTTTTTGACACAATCCCCAAAGACCGCATCATTTGGTTAATTTAATTTGACCTTCATCACAGACAAAAATTGTTGCTCCTAGTCAGAATAATATTGAGACTTAAAAAGGGGGCTGCAGGCCATACAATGAATAGGCACTCAGCTAAAGATAAGGGCATTGAGTTCGACAGAAGACAAGACCTAAGTGAAAACTTTTTTTAAACATGTCTACCAGGTGAGAAAGGTGTCTAAACTGGATGCAGGCAGCCATGAAGAGCCAAGAGAATGACAGGCAGAGGAAGGTTAGGGCAGCTGTGCTTCTAAAGGATTATGCTACTTTTGAGAATTTCGGAGGACTTCAGTAAAATATGACACTGTCTCTGAAGAATATCTCCCTATGTTTTTAAGTTTGGGGGTACAGAGAAAGGTTCTTTGGCCTTAAAATTAACTAATGCTTAAGATTTCTTCAATAAGAGACTCTCAGATTTTCAGCCTATATTTTAAAGAAATGCTTGCAATCAAATACTCTTTAAGAGTGAAACCTCAAAAAATAAAAATAAAAAAAGTAAAAATGAAACGTCATGCTGCAGAGTCACATTGAGACATGTATGAGTATTGCTGTATTTTTTTTAAAGGAAAGCTGATCTGATGATGGTGGGAGGATCATGGTGCTAGAATATCAGAGGCCCTGGAAGTGAAGGAAGACATTTTGATCATTTGTGGAGTGTCACTACATGAGGTGGTATTATTATACCTTTTAGCTGATAAGGTGGAAGTTTATAGAAGATGAATTGATAACTGTCAAGCAACAGATAAATGGTAGAGTTGGGATTCCAGTTATGTCTGACACTAGTGTCCATATTCTTAACCACTCCACTAGTTTGAAGGTATAGAAGGCTTGAGCTTTACTTACTTGACATTATTACTTCCTTCCATTTCACTCCCCAAATATGTCTCTTAATTTCTTCGAAGTGAGGAGCATCATCATGCATAATATGATCATCCTGCTCACAAATAAAGCTCACATAAAAGGAAGGCAGCACTGGGGAATGCTACAGGAAGGAGGAGTCACCGTCTTCACAACAAACAAGTCCAACCAGACCACTGACATGCCACCATCAATTAGAATGTAGCATTTTTATTGGAAAAGTCCACATATTAGGCAATTCCCTTTGTGAAAAGGTATTGAAATACATAGATGGGGAGCAGCTAATAATTAAGATTATATATAACATATATTTATATTGCCAGTACTATGCATACATTGGAAAGCTAGCTTTTTTTTTTGAGTGTCCCCATTACAGAATACATTTCAAGTTGACAATAATGTTTCTTACCATTGAAAATTTGCCAACAACTCTCCTAAAGAGTCAACATTAAATATGTTACAATTCAAAACATGAAAATAATTAATTCTATTTACATATGTTTGAGGTTATATACGAGAGCACTGATATATTAAAGATTTGTAAAATTGGCAGCTAAATGTGTTTCAAGATTCATCCAGATGACTTGATGAGGACTTAAATAGCTTTATAACAAAGCCATTCTTTCTTTGCTACTCTTTTTAGATTATCTATCACGTTATACTGGCTATGGTTGAATTCTGGCTTTAAGAAATGATTGCTATAAAGAAGAACTGACAAAGGGTGCTATTTTAGAAAAATAAGGATTCAGGATGAGTACTTAAAGGTGGAGCTCAACTCATCATGTTTGAAGTCTGGGACAATCACTTCATGTGATTATCATTTAGTTGAATGAGGTTCAACCTCCACGTAAGTCATTCATTTGTTCTTTGATTTTTAAAAGTTAATTTTCAGTATTATTTTTTTACAGAGCATAGAAAACACATCTGAACACCAGTCAGGTATCAATCCTGCTCTTGCTTGTCATATGTCTTCAAGTGGAATTGTGGATGGGTCAAAGCTAACTCATCCCCAAACCTGGAAAAAAATATACAAACTCTAATTATGCCTTAGTAGACTCATTTCTTTTCATAAACATAGGACTTAAGTATTATTTTAAAAGGAATATGGACTTTGGCTATTTTTGTTCAGTATCAAAAATTTATTTTAGGCAAAGTTCTTTGGATCCTTCTGTTCATTCTTACAAGATCAAATATCACTTGACAATGCCTATGTTCAAAAGATGAATCACTGGCTCCAGACCAGCTCAAAGAGATTCACATAAGCATATGAAGCCAATTTACTTCAAACCATATCTTTTGAGCACCAACTATGTGCCAGGCACTATATAAGGTGCTGAGGACCCAAAGAGGAAATGACAAAGATTCTGCCCACAAGGCACTCACAATCACTAGAAGCAGATCTTGAGATGGAGAATAACTTCTCTTATAATCTATCATCCTAAAAGGAAGAAAAAATAGCGGCAAGCACACACATTTACCTTGTACTCTATGAAATTGGGCATATTTAGAGGTGGCAAATGTCAATTATTCAGTCTCTATTTTACTTAAAGTGTTCTAATATGTCCTACAAGAAAAAAATAAGCTGTTTGAATCTTCATGCGTGAGGGAGAAGATAGAGAAAATTTCTCCCTCCAATCCCAAACCCAAACCCTTATAATTACATCCATGATTCTTTTATTGCCCAAAGACACAGAATAAAAGACAATGCTTTACGATGTTAACTTCATTCCATTTATTTTGGCTCTAAAGAGATGCATGCATTAAACTTGAAGCATTCTACGTTATTGAAATATTTACATCATTGTACATGTGATGTGGAGGAAAATTTCTTCCTATCTTGGGACAGAGTTGTAATCAATTTCTAGTCTAGGCTCTTATATTTAAAGTGACTTGTGATTTTTCTCAAATGAGGGAGATATCCTACTGGGAACAAATTTACCACAGTCTGCCCCCAAATGAACATAGGGTACAGTTTTGGACCTTTTGCATCTAATTGTATTTTGACTTGATTACGAACACCACCACTGTAAATAGTCATGGCTTTCCCTATTTCAGTTGTTGTAGCTAAAAGTTATCTTGTTGATTTCAGTGTTCTTGCTCTAATTTCACTTTGCCTTGCAAGTTTGAAACACAGCAAACATTATAGTTCAAATTACACTTACCGCAGGAGAGTTGGGCGCAAACAATATGACATTAATACAATTTAGCAGGTTAGAACATAGAAACAAACTCAAATTATCATAAACCACACAGGGGATTATTTAAGTGGACTTTAGAAAGGACATCTTCTCTCCATGAGATTTTGTGAGTAAGACCCACATCAATAAAACCCATACCTCTTTTACAGGTAAAGATAGGAAACCCAATAAACCAGATTGAACAGGCAGAAGGCAGTGGGGAAGAAGATCCGTGCATAAGAGTCCATTTTGGCAATACGAATATGTATCCTCCCATGTCTCCAAGCTCCTGTTCGGCAGTCTTCAAAACAGCAGAAAAAACTGGCACAGTCCTTGCCATCCAGACACTCATACCCATATTCTTCATCTCTCTCTTGAAGGTGAGTGGCATTGTTCATTTGAATGGTTGCTGATCTTGGGCGGATATCAATGGTAGGGGCCTGAGACAAGGGTAGGGAAGAAGAATTAGTTATACCTGATAGATCCTAGACTAAGTCTCCACAATGTCACCAATGTGAATGATGAATCTGAAAATGAGTACTCAGGAAATTGCTATGACATTGTGATCTACAATGGTAGAATTGAACTTAGAAGGAAAGCACATTTGCAGATTTCAAATTTTGAGCTTAAGCGGTGCAGCTGAAAATAATACCATCAAGCTAATAGCTATAGCAAGAAGAGTAAACACCAAAAGAACTCAAAGTTTAAAGATTTAAATCAAACAACTACATGGAATCTTATTCTAGTAAGTATTAGATGTGAGGTTGGTTACATGAAAGCATTTAATGGTGTTGCATGTGAGTAGAACAGAGGAAAAAATGCGTTAATTTTGAACTCAAATTTTGTGTCATGCTTACCTATAGGCAAATGGTAAACCCCATTACACTGAGCAAAGTATAATGTACTAAAAGCTATTAAAAGAAAAATGTTAAAATATATACAAATAGAGGAGTTACCTAAGTTTATGCCACAAATGGTATGGCTTATGTTTTAAAGACATAAAGTGCTTTGTCTAGCATTTACCATCTAGAAGCTTCAGAACGTCAGCAAGTTTACCTATATATGAGTGAACATTCAGAAAAAAAAAACCCAAAAAGCTTCTACTACCTTTTTAGCATTTGAGAAAAAACTAATACCAATGAACTGAATGATAATTTAATCTTTGCTATCACATTAATTATGAAACTACTATAAATCTCAAAGATTAATTTAATTTGGAGGAGTTTGTTTGGGATAGTATAAACACAAACCCTAGTGTCTCTGAGTTATCAGAATTCAACTGGGAAAAGAAATATCATTGCAGTATTGCATGATATGGCAAAAGGCCCCTGGATTACTTTAAAGGAAAGGGATGGGTATTTTAACATAAAGCATTTCAAAGAGTATTATTTTTATAAAACTGACAGGTAGGGTCAAACAAATGAAGATTATTAAATTCACTTATCAAAAAAAATCTTGTTTTGAAATAAGATTTACAGTTTACATTTTAAGAACATATATAGTATATGTGTTAGGTGCTATCAGTGAAATCGGATCCTATTTTTATCTGGGAAGAGAGGATAAGTTTTGGCTTTGATGTTTAAGGAGGCCCTCTTTTCTAATGACTCTCATAGCTCTCATAGAGCTTACAGCTTTTGAGCTTCATATAGGGTCAAAACCTCTGTGAATTAGTGTAGGGTTGATGAGTCAACTCTGGAAATCTATAAAACTTTCTTCATCTCAAAGCTCTTATCTTTAGTAGAATGCTTAAAGATCTACTCACTAAAAAACAAAAGAAGTCAAAACACCATGTAAGCATTAATAATTAAATTCAGCAGTTGCATGCAGTGAATTTTCATTCCAAAAACATTATACCTTGAAGGAAAACATCCGAAGAAGCTTTGGGTTTGTAGACAGAAAAGAGAATTGCATTTTTTTTAATTAAAAGAAGGAAAAAATAAAAGAAAAAGACAAAATAAGATAAATTAAAAATACATTTTAAAACATAGTAAAATGAACTGAAATTATAAACACAGAAGGACAATTCTGAGCTTAGAGTAAAGCATATACCTAAAGTTGGAAAATGGAATTTGGGGATTTTAATAAATTAATCCACAATTATCTAACTATAAAAGCCTCTGTTGTCCACTTATGAGGAAGCTTTCCATATCCTGGCTTACCTGTACAGACGTATTGTGATTTTATTTCTAATCATTGTCAAAGAGGCCTTAATAGGTAAGTCTTAATACAATGAACCAAAGAGCATATTAAATGGAAACGAAATTTCAGCTTCTCATTCACAGCTTAGTCTCTTTCTTGTTTTGATAAAGCACTTCATTGGCTTAAAAGAGGGAAATCCATGAAATTCTCAGGTAATTTAATGTTTTCAGTTTCTTTAATCCCCTCTGTAATAATATAGCTGTTAGGGAAAAAAGGCTTTTTCCAAAGGACTCTTGTTTAAAAGCACACCCTCACATCCCTGTTGATGCTGGAAGATAATAATGCTGAATGTCATAGGACCCTCTTCTAGGGAGAAAAATGTAATGGAAAGTGAAGAATGGGGAGAAATAATGATTAAAAAATACAACAACAAAAATAAAATAAGGTTAGAAAAAATGCAAAGACAAGCCAAACAGAAGGGAAGGAAAGGACTGCGTAAAGCATAGTGAATATTTGGGAAATTAAGGATAAGCATTTCTTTTTGTATTAATTAGTAAGAATAATGATGATTTTTTTCTTTACCTGTTGCAAATTATTACACTCAAGTAAATATACACCATTTCTAGAATTTCACCAGGTTTCCTAGAGATCCATCAGGATGTAACCTAGAATCAGCTATATTTCCTCATAATTTAGTTCTCCCAAAGTTGGTGGGTCAGATACCTAAGCCACTATCGAGCCCTCATGGCTCTTACAGCAGACAAGGAAAGTCTATAAACTGAGGACGCTAGAGTGACTTCCCTTGCCCCTGACTTAGAAGGAAATGGACCTTAACTTCCACAGGACTTCCTATGAGCCAGCCAGTCACTATATTCAGGTGCATAAATGGGTAGCTACTTATTTTCTTCAACATTCGTATTAAACGGTAATTGCTATAGGCTTGTGTCTCTGTGCCTTTTCATCTCTATTTAAAGTTTGATGGCAAGTTGAAGTCATCCTACTTTTTTCCAGATCATTGAAAGAGTAAGTATAAATCATCAACATCAACCATCATCATCAACTATTAAAGGTAAGGACTTTCATTTGTAAGATACCATGTAATGCTTTTTACCTTCATTGCCAGAGTAACCCTTTGAGATAATTATTATAAAAAATATATATTTTGTATACGACTAAACAAAGACACTGGGAGGCTAAGTAGCTTGCCCAAACAATAGATTACCATTTCATTTAAAAACAAAGTGATATAATTTGAGTATGAAACCAATAGTAGTCCTCTGGTGGTAATATACACAGAGACAATTACTTGCAAAAGTGTGGTGATCTTTGAAATTCAAGAACATTATGGCTTCCTGGTGGAAATCCTTGAATCAAAATGTTATTTTAAAACAACAGTAAGAATATTATTGTAAAGAGCAGAAAGATGACAATCAATGAAACTTAGAGTAACACCAACAAGAAAATAAACACAGGTCTCAGCAATATTTATAATTCTCATGAGAAGAAGAGAGTGAGAGTCTGCCTTCATGAATCAGGTCTCTTCCAAATAACTAAAGACCAAAATGAATTCTTTTGACCTCGCCAAATTCATACATTCTGTTTTCATTTTGGAACCCAAATCTTTGAGGCTTAGTCTGCAAACAGGCTAAGACCAAACCAAAGTAGGTGGGCTTCTACATAAAAATGTCCATGATCCCAATGGGAAATGATACATACAGGGTTTTTCTTCTTTTTGTCTTTATCCTTGCTTGGTTTCCGGTTGCTGACAAAATAATGCAGGGTGCCATACTCCACCAAAGCAGAGAAGACAAAGATGAAGCAAACAGATACAAAGAGATCCATTGCTGTGACATAGGAGACCTTGGGGAGCGACTTCCGGGCAATGGTGCTGAGTGTGGTCATTGTCAGGACAGTGGTGATACCTGAAGAAAGGTGCAGTAAAACAGATCATGTGATCACATCAGCAAGTTGAGTAACTGAGTCACTACTGACACCAAATTTGTTTTGTGACTGCTGATAAGCAACCTCAGTAAGGGAAAGGAGGCATAGCTATAATCCATTCACTCTGTCCACAAATACTTATTGCCTGCCTACCATGTATCTGCTACTCTGACAAGCACTGAGTATATGCTGAAAATTAAGATGAACATGTTCCCTGAGCTTATGTACCTTATATTTTAGTGACAGAGAACACTATAAATCAAGCGAGCAAAGAAAAGTATAATTACAAATTATGGTTCATGCCATGAATAACAGCATGGATGGTAAAAACCTAGCTAGATGGAATGCTAAGGAAAGGTGCCTTTGAGGAGGTGATATTTAAGAATCTTAAAAAGTTAGAAGACACCAGAGGGGCAAGATGGCGGAGAAGTAAGGAGCTCCGTACTTGCACTCGCGCCCATACATCACACAGAAAAGATCTGAAGCCATTGGAAACCTTACAAAACCTGAGAGATTGGGA